CACGTTTGTTTGAGGAATATGAAAGAAATTGAAATTTTTGAATCTTTATGTCATTATAGTCAGTGTTGCAAAAATGTAACAATCAATGTTTCGTCATTTTGCATAATGTTGTAGAAATGTAATGATCCATGGTTTGTCATTTTTCGCAATGTTGTTAATGTTGCAGAAATGTAACAATCAATGCCTTATCATTTTTCAAAGTCTTGTAGAAATGCGACAAACCCTTTTTTTCTAAAAATTTTTTAATTTTACTTTTATTCATGTAAATTTTTTATATCCTTATATTGATGCATTCTAATGTATTTGCATTTAAAAAAAGAATTAGTGGTGTTAAGATATGAAGTGTTAAGTTACTTATAAATAGTAACATTTTGAGTATTTTTGCTTCCATTGTAAGTATTATGTTTATGCTCTTACTATGGTGTTACCAAAAATCTTAACCTTTTTTTCAAGTCATTAGCTGTAGATGAAAAGATAGTGGTGGTTAAAAAAAACCTGAAAAAAGGCCTTAAAATCAAGTAAAAAAGAATAAAAATGAAACAAACATGATTCAAAAATATTAATTAGTTGCTGAATCAAAGTGGAAATTCAAGGTATGCAATTCTCTGTTGGTTAACATGGATAAAGTGAAATCCTTTTTCTGTTTTAAAGAGACTTTTAATCCTTTGCCTGTGACACCCGAACTCAGTTTGGGCAGCGCAAATGCGTCAATTTTGAAATGCTCGACATGAGTTCAGGCAAGAGAAAATTGTTGCTTCAATTCCGTAAAGCTCAGTTCGTCCGATGCATAATATGTAATTTATTATTTTCTCAATAGATGGTGATACTTAATTGTAAATATTCCCGCGAAAATTTTGATAGTTTCGCGCCATTTCCTGGATTTTTGTAATTTGTCGGTAATTTAAAAGAATCTAAGGGACATGGAATGCATGACAGTTGATATAATGATAAATACTGTTGTATTAGTTGCATAGTATTGTTGTATATTTATCTTGAAAATTATATAATTTGATTTACTTTGCTAGAATTTGAGCAAAAACTACTGTAATTTATTAACATTTCCCATATATGTGAACACATTGAATATTGTAGTTATTTCGTTTAATTTTTTTTAAAAATAATCCATTTTTAACATTTTGATGATAATTTTTGACGAGCAAAATTAAAGGGAAATTTTTTCCTTCCACTTTTTGTACGTTTTTCGCAAATATGATTTAAAGAAATGGAAATAGTTAATTTCTTTGGTATCTTTTAATGAAGATGAAACTTTATTTGTTGTGAAAAAGAAAAGTCTTTAAAGGCTCTGCGTACNTTTACTAGAAATTTTATGTTTCATTAGGTAGGTACTTGCTGTAAGAAAACAATTTAGGATAAATTTTTAAACAATTTTAATAACAATATTTGATAGCATTAAAACTTAAATATTTTTGACACTAAGGAAACTGAAGAATATTTTTTTAGAAATGATAATTATTAAAAAAGAATAATATTGTTAATTATCAATCTTAGGAGTCAGAAAAATACTATTGCCATAATCTTTCTATTATGTTCCCCATTATCCACATTTAATTAAACACCACAAGTAATTTGGTTGCTTATTTATTGCACCTGAAATACATAAGTAACATAATTCCTTCTTCACCTTTGTGTGTTTTATGTGATAGTGGACGAGTGTGAAGCACAGATAGATTTTTCTTGTACATTTCAACGCTATTGGCAAGCAAGAAGTTTAATGGCCTAACGGCTAATGTAACTGGCATTATACAAATAAATAAAAAATAATTAGCATTCAAATAAGTTCATGATATATAAATTATAATAAATATGCATCTTTCCAATGATTTTTTCATAATGTACCGCACTGTACACGTGAAGATTGCAATCCAAACTTTGTCACAATTTCGCAGAACCAAAGGACCAGCTAAATCAACTCCAGTTGTTTCGAACACTGCTGATATTCGCACACGTTCTTCTGGAAGAGGAGCGAACATCGTCGTAGCAGAATTGGATTTAAATCTTTGGCAAATTACACATTTGGAAACAATTGATCGAATGGTTTATCTTGATCGCAAAATCCAGTACTTTTCACTAAGGGTTATGACAAGTGTTTGTACACCTACATGGCTATAAGTCCGATGAGTCTCTTCGATGAGTTTGAAAACTATTTCATTCCTGTATGGCAACAGGATAGGACGTCTGAAAAAAATCACCATCACCAGTCGAGACAAGTTTTGTCTCCACTCTTAGAAGACCACTACAGTCACGGTGAATGATGCAATTGGGTGCTATCAGTCGACGATTTTTCCCAAAGGAGTCGTTTTATTTGAAAAGGAGTATATCGAGCAGAGATTTGGTGAGCTCTTCTTTTAAGTTTCCATTCAAGAGGACCCCAAGGGCTCACGCTTGTGTGACGGGCACGACGCACCCGGGGTCCCAAGCTGGACCTGAGCATTTTTCTATTTCTCTCCTGCGACAGTCCTGTTTTGAATTTCTCACTATTATTATTTATTGCATTGACCTAGTGAGCAAATATTTATAAGTTTTTATACTTTTGATTATGCATTATATTTGTTGCTTATATATATATATATATGTATGTATGTCAGCACCAAATTCCTAGTTTTATTCCAATTGTTTTTCCTTAGCAATATGAATTTTTTTTCTATTTTTTCTTTTTTCAGAAGGCCACAAGAGGATCTGCATTAAATTTTTGAAATTTTAATTCGGTTTTTTAAAAAGTTAGCTTAAAGATTCAATTTTCAACTTGATTATTCATTTTATTCATCGAGTAAAGAAGAAAAATGTCAGACAAAATTTTGATGCCATTGAAAAAATTAATTATTAAATAAAATAAAGATAGCATACATTCATAAAGAATGCTGCAGTTTGACATCTGTTTTGAAGTTATTTGTCATTAAGAAAGTTTACAGAATCAATACATCAAGGAAATTGTCAGTCAGAATTGTTTCTTCCCATAGTCCCTTAAAATGAATGGACAAAATGAGATGAATTTAGTAAAAATGCAGATGCTGGAAGGGAGCTTCGTGTAGGAAAATTTAGAAAATGAAAAGTCTAGATAAAAAGTAAATAATTTTATATTCATCATTTTAAAATTCGTAATTTTAAATTAATGCTAAAACGCATTGAAGATATGCTTTTGAAGAAATCGATTTTACCGTTGAAGACTTCGCTTATCAAAAATCACGAAAAGTATTCTTACCCTAAAGCTTAGTGTTACGATACTTATCGAGTTATAACTTAAGAAGACGCTATACCATGGAAGAAACTTTTTACGGCAAATTCTCTTTCACTTCCATAAGTAATTTAGTAAGTATAGAAAAAGTGAGTTTAGACAACCTAGAGTAATCCATAAAGAAATTTTCAAAATGTGAAAATGAAAACATATTGTGAGAGGATAACTTAGTATTAGGCAAAGGGGATGTTATTTTCCACTAATTAGTTAGCATTTTTATGTTTTTAAATTTTTTTCCAGCAATTGAAACTTCGAGGCTAACCGTGCTTGAACTCGGTTTTTCCATACTTTAAATTTTAGATTAGTTACGGTGGTGAAGCAGAATTTGCGATGATAAGCCATATAGCGTCCGCTTAAGCACATGGATTTTTTTTACGAAAGTATTAAGGCTATTTTTTTTATGAGAAATGTTTTTTGCATTTGTTTTTCACTTCTGTAACATAATAATTTTTAAAAACTATGCAAAATTCTATTTTTTTTTAAATTCTGAGAAAGGCTTTTAATATAGGACCTTTGAAACCTAAAAACGGCCCTGTGATAATTAAATAAGAAATTATAAAGAGCGATTTCCTTTATTTTGTCAATCACATATGTTTTCTTACTTGTATATGTTCTTTTACAGCTACATAAATTTAATTTTCTCAATCATTATTGAAACATTAATAAAATTTTTGGATACTAAATGAAACATGACATATATATGAGAATGCTTTTATTTAAATCAATATGTTGCGTATACATAAACAAATCAAATGGCAACAAGATTTAGACTCCAAATTTCGTTCTCACCGACACACTAAACGCTGCATAATCAGCTGGAAATACGACTCGTGATCTGGGAGCAATTAAAACTTGTATGGCAGCTTCAAGGGCGTCTAACAGCAGACGTACATCAGTTCTAGATGGACAGCCATTTGAGTCATTTCCTGTTAACAGCTGTGAGAGACTGTTTCCGAATAAATTGTAGTTAAAACCTTGGGCTTGCAGAGATTGTTGAACGATGTTTATTAAAACTGATACTCTTTGCATGTCTGATCCTGCAAATGGTCTTTTCATGGGTGCATTTGGTCTACCCAAATTATATGGACTGCGATCGAAAGGTCTTGTAGGCATTCTTGGCCCATATGGGAGTCCTAGTCCCGGTCTATTTGGTCTTCCTAATCCTGGTCCATAAGGTTGTACTGGTCCGTTAAGTCCTTAAAAATATACAAATATTATTAAAGATGATCAAATAAATAAAAAGTAAATAATAATATCTTTAACCTAAGTATGTTTCCTAAGCACTGTCATGGAAAAAATATCGTTTTGTTACATAAGGTAAAACAAAAACTTAGCAGATAATAGAAAAAACAGAATCTAAGTTTCTATTCTAAGAAAAATAATCAGTTCATAAGGTAAAAATGCTGTCTCGTTTATTTTGATTTTTGGTAACACAGGAACAGTACGAAGTAAATAGTGTTACAAAATGAGTACGATTCCGAAGCTAAATCTTTCATTAAATAATTTTCCTCATTTAAAAATTGTAGGAAAAATTTGGTGTTATCTACTGTAATAGTTACTGTTATGTAAAATTATCTGCTAGAAAAAAATTACTAATAATTTTAAATATATTAGACTTTTTTTTGAAACGGGATGAAAAGTTATTTTAATCTCTATAAAATGGTATAAAAATTTTATTGCAAATGAATTCAGGAATTATTCCTACATTGACATGTTTTTTTGAAGTCTTTGTTAACTAATGTTAATTTCAAAAGTTTTCAACCATTCCATTGGTTCCATAAGGTGACGCTCCTGGTCCCTTTGAACCTCCTGGTCCGTTTGGTCCTTCTGGATTCTTTGGTCCTCCTGGGCCGTTTGGTCCTCCTGGTCCGTTTGGTCCTTCTGGATTCTTTGGTCCACCTGAGCCATTTGGTCCTCCCGGGCCATAAGGTGACGTACCTTTTCCATTTGGTCCTCCTGGGCCGTTTGGTCCTTCATTGCTTGGACCCTCAGGATATATATTGACCTCAGTGTCTACATTAATAGGTCTTTCGACATTTGGTGCGTTTGGTCCTCCTGGTCCGTTTGATCCTTCTGGGTTTTTTGGTCCTCCTGGGCCATAAGGTGACGTTCCTGGTCCTTTTGTTCCTCCTGGTCCTTTTGGTCCTTCTGGATTCTTTGGTCCTCCAGGTCCGTTTGGTCCTCCTGGTCCGTTTGGTCCTCCTGGGCCATTCGGTCCTCCCGGGCCATAAGGTGACGCCCCTGGTCCCTTTGGTCCTCCTGGGCCGTTTGGATATATATTGACCTCAGTGTCTACGTTAATAGGTCCTTCATTTGGTCCTTCTGGTCCATTTGGTCCTTTTTATAAAAATGAATAAGTAATTTTAAATTTTGTTTTATAAAGTATCGTAAATAGTGTTACAAAATGAATACCATTCCGAAGCGAAATCTTTCATTATATAATTTTCCTCATTTAAAAATTGTTGGAAAAAACTGGTGTTATCTACTGTATTAGTTACTGTTATGTAAAATTATCTGTTAGAAAAAAAGTACTCATAATTTTAACTATATTAGACTTTTTTTGAAACAGGATGATAAGTGTTATTTTCAACTCTATAAAATGGTATAAAAATTTTATTGCAAATGAATTCTGGAATTATTCTAATATTGACATGTTTTTTTGAAGTCTTTGTTAAGTAATGTTAATGTTCAAAAGTTTTCAACCATTTCATTGGTGTTATTTTCGGTAAATAGAGTTTTGCCAATTAGGAGTTCTTTATAACCAGCTATTCTTTCATATATAGTTATTTTTATTTCTGTTTGTAACTAGCGTAGTATAGCGGTCTAGATTCTGAGTTTACGACTATCTAGGTTAAACTCCGTACCTTTGAAATTTTGAACTGAATCCGGAAGTCAAAGAAACACCTGGATCAAGCATTTTATCAAACTAAGCTTTGTATTTGTCTTTTTAAAGAAGCAAGCTCGCGTTTCCGTTATGTGGAGCGGAAAACCATGAAACTCTCTAACAATTTGAAAAACTGCAAGGAGATTTCTTGCAATGATATGCCTACCACGGAGGATATTTTATGTCAGTACCGAGGTTGTTGAGAGTCGAGATCAAAATTCATATCGACCAGCAACGCTAAGATTCTATCCCTGGGCGATTCCGTGTGAGAAATGCGATCTATTCCTTGAGCCACGGCATGGTAATCATATTTTATAAACATATTCTGTGACGACTCTTGTCCCTTTGGTCCTCCTGGGCCGTTCGGTCCTTCATTGCTTGGACCCTTAGGATATATATTGACCTCAGTGTCTACATTAATAGGGTTTGCAGCATTTGGTCCGTTTGGTACTTCTGGGTTCATTGGTCCTCCTCAGTAATTCGGTCCTCCGGAACCTTGGTTCGGTTCTCCTTGGCTATAAGGTGATTGTTCGATCTTCATTGCTTAGACCCTCGGGAATTAAATTAATCACAGTGTCTACATTAATAGATTTTTCAGCATTTTTCCCTTCTGGTGCATTTGGTTCTTTTTTATAAAAGTGAACAAGTAATTTTAAATTTCGCTTCGTAAAGTATCGTAAATCGTGTTTCAAAATGAGTATGATTTCGAAGCTATCTCTTTCATTAAATATTTTCCACTGTATTTAAAAATTTTCCGTAAAAAATTGGTGTTATCAACTGTAATTGTTTCTGTTATGTAAAATTATCTTTTAGAAAAAAATTGATAATATTTTTGGTTTTTAAATACTGAGCAAAATTCTGTTAATAAAATGTAATCCGAAAATATTCTAGGCCTAAAAAATTATTAATAATTCAAATTAAATTAGACATTTTTTAAAACAGGATGAAAATTGTTATTTTCATCTCTATATAAGGAAAGTATAAACATTTTAATGCAAATGAATGAAACATTCAAACTAAAGTACTAATAAATAAATAGTTTATAAGTTGATTATTCTAATTTTTAATAAAAGGTTTTTACTTATAACTGTTACGTATCTTTGATTTTATTGCTATTTGGAAAAGTTTCCGAAAGCATGATTTAATTTGCTTGTTTTCTTACGAGTGATTTGATTTAATATATTGTTTTAATTGTTTTTTCAAAACTATAATATAGTTTTTTGTTGACAGTCAGCTCAGATCACAGACTTGCAATCAGATGCTTTCTGGCCGTTAATCTTAAGTGATAGGAAGCAACAAATTACTGGATCCGAGGGTCCGGGATTCAAACCTCGTTAGTGGTCAGTATTTTAAAATTATATTTCATAAAAAATAAATGTTTTTTTTAAAATTTATTTTACAATTTGTAATAAACTATTCTTTCTGTGTTTTGTAAATGAAATATTATTTTGCCTTAAATTATATTTTTTTCTAAGTGCAAATAATAGTGTAAGAATGGAGAAATTGTTGCTCAGATAAAATTTATATAAATGGCCCCATATCTCCCCTTTTTCAGTTAACATCAAAGCTTTTTACGATTCTTTTGGTTATCAATCTTTCGATTAATATCAATGTTTCAAAGTTGATTGGCTGTTACATATTCTGATCAGTAGATTAGAAAAATATTTATTTGTAAGCTACCTGAATAAATTTGTATTATGCTTCAAATTCTACACTCAACTGAAGAAATGTCTGCTTCTGATAGTTAATATCGAAAAATTTTAATTAGAATGTGTATGGAGAAAATTTAATCTTCATTTTATATTTTGATTAATATGATTGTTATACTTAAGAAAAAATTCGATATTTTAATATTTAAGCAGGGACAATATTATTTAGTTAAAGATTTTAATAACTTACCTCCCAATCCATTTCCTGCATCGTTTTGTGCACCATTGGGCTCATAATTGACAACTGTATCTATGAAAATGGGTCCGCTGTCCGATCCGGGTCCATTTGGCCCTGCTTTTACAAAGAAAAATACATAATTGTTATCAATACTTTGTGGGTATTTGAACTCAAAAACTCACCTTTTAATAAACTCACCTATTCCGTTGTTATTACTATTCCCTCCTTGCCCATTGGATCCACCTTCATTGACATTTATGGAGGTCTGTACGCTAACTGAGCCTGATTCGCTATCGATATCGATTTCATTCTCTGAGTCGGAATTATGTCGGCTAAGTACAAATACCATATCTTCTATTTCGCTAATAAAATCTTTGTTTTCTGGGCAATTTATTTGCCGAAAAGTAACTTTTATAGCTTGTATAACAGCTCTCAGTTTAATTGTTATACTGATATGTTTGCTTTCCACTATCGTTAGCTCAGCAATCGATGAAGCTAATGCCCCCAGCATTGCCTTTTCTTTAGCTTTTGTGTAATGCCTTTGCTTGCTGCTTATTTCGGCATTCGTTAAACTTATTATTACTTCATAGTAGTCTTCCACGGATTCATAATTAAACATACCGCAGTCCTTCAGATTGGAAACAAAATTTCTGGCAAATTCCCGAGCCTTTTGAGGATTCGAAAGGAACGAAAAATCAGCATTGTGGTTGGCATTTATCGTATGAAGCTCACAATATGACAGAAGTACCACCGCCACTAAACTAAATGAGCAGTACATGGCTGCTGATTTAGTGATCTGGTTGATGGTTGGCAGTTGCCTACTTTTATACCATATTTAATCGTGACAGTTGTGCACATTTTTGTTAATCATACATGTTATATTTACTGAGAGAAATAATTTTTCATGATCAAATTTTGTTTACCTTCTCTCACTGTTTGCCTATGTCATGTGCTGAATTGATTCGTGATCTTTTTTTAATTATCTAGCCTATGGTATTTTTAAGGAAATGAAACTTATCGAAATTGGAAATGGAATGGAGATTATAATTTTTAGATCCCTCAAATTATTTTAAGGATTTTAATGGTGCAAAACAATTTGTTAATCTGGAAAAATGTTTTTTTTTTAAAATTAATTATACATTTACAGATTGTGACAAATAAAATCAACGTAAGCAAAAAATGGTTTTTAATTGATAATTTGTTAATAAAATAAGAATCTTTTGAGGTTTTCTAGATCGCTTTTGATCTTTTCCAGATCACACAGAAGATCACTTCTTTCTTCTTTTAGTTTTCCTTTTTTAATTAACTAGCGTAAGATATTTTTTAATTAAATGAAACCTATCGAAAGTGGAAATGAAACGGAGATTATATTTTTTAGAACTGTACAAATATTTCAAGCATTTTAATAGTGCAAAACAGTTTATATAATCTAGAAAAATGTTTTTTTTAATAATAATTATACACTTACAGATTGAGACAAATAAAACCATACCGAGTAAAAACTGGTTTTTAGCTGATAATTTGTTTATATATATTCAATTAATTCAATAATAATTGATAGCAAAATTTAATTAAAAAAACAAAACAATCAAACAATGAAAAGTTTTCTTTATTATTTCATTGCATTACTTTTTGATTGATTCTTCGATTTCTTGGTTCCCAGGTGTAGTTTGCAGTTTATATATATAATATATAAAGGTAAGGATCAGATTTTTTTAGATCATTGATTTGCTAGTTTTATATATTTTTATCCAGGGATGTTAACTTTCAAAATTCAATAAAACGTTTAGAATTACTTTAGCTATTCTGTTTGAAAATAATTTCTATGCAAAATTAAATAATAATACAAATTAAACTAACGGTATGTTTGGAAATGCAAAAAAAAAAAAATGTATTTTCATTAAACATATATTTATTTGTGCAACAAAAAAGAAAAATAATTTATTTATAATGAAAAGTCTTAAGTTCAATGCAAAGACCTAAATAGAAAGTTGTGACTAAGTAGTTTTTTTTAATTAAATAGTAACTTTGTGGCGCATTTATAAAAGCTAATGATTACTTTAAAAAATTATCTATTTAAAAAAAAAACAAAAACACTTTTGATGTTTTTATAACATTTTGACCCCCTACTAGTGCTCACGTTATCTCTTCGACAGACGATTCTGTTCACATACTTTTAAAACTAAGTACTCTTAAGCATTACTTTAAAATACATTTTACTAGTTTTGATTTATTTTAACTCCTATTAGTGCTCTTCGGAGATAATTCTATTTACACAGTTCACTTAGAATTCCGTTTTAAAAAAAACGTCTTATTAATTTGATTTGATTTTAATCACCATTGATGCTAACGAACATTGTTTCTTTTTAATGACGATTCTAAAAACTGATCATTAGTTAACGGGTATTGTTTTTTCAACATGAATATGACTAAACTGCTTTCAAGTAATCTGCTCTCCAGTAAGGTACGTATTTAGGCACGATTCTGAGCGGCATAAACTGACTGGAGTTATGTTTTCTACAAAATCATAAATTACGTAATTCAGCAAAAAAGATTTATGCACAGTTTTTTTCCCTTCATAAATTTTATTAATTGCAGCACAAATTAAGAGTTGATAAATGAGCCATTTTCATTTTCAAGTTCGACTCAATAGTAGTTTTCCCTATCTTTGGAAGAAAAGTGTTAAGTTCGTTTCATTTCTTTTTAATTTTGAAATTTGTATTCGGCAAATATTTTCGTAATTACAATTGTTAGGTTAATTGTTTTGCAATTGAGTCTGACATTTAGTTTTGAGTCTGAATTTTAATTGAGTCTGAATTAGAGTCTGATATATTGCTTTGGGTTTCAAATTTCTACTAATAAAACACAATATTATCAGGCAATAATTGCTTTTAGTAATTTACCAGATATATAATTTTAATAAATAGTATTGAGAAAATTGAGCCTTAGGATTTAATAAGTTAAATATAAATAATTATTCGCTATAAAAATTTCAAAAAAGTCGTCTATTTAAAATTTGATTTCTTAAGAAGTATTCTTTCAATTGTCTCCTACCTCCGTACTATTACATTGAAACTTTTTGAAAAGATCTTTCAAATTTTGCATTTTGTCATTTAAAATTATATTCTTTAAAATTGTGTAAAAATTTCTATGTTTTTTAATTCAAATTCTACTATTTCAATATTATATTCTAATATTTCAAATTCTACTAACATTAAATAAAAAAAAAATCAAGATTATAAATAATCATTTAAAGTTATTCTTTGCACGTATTTATCTTTGGAGAAAATTTTTTTATTATTGTGTGCAAAAATGCTTCAGTTGTCGAGATATAGTGGAATACGTAAAAAGGGGGTAAAATATATGTCATTAAGGGCTCAAAACTAAATTGACAAAAAAAAAAAATCAGTTTTTGTAAAAGTTTAGCTAAGTCTTTTTTAAAAAATTGCCCTTTTTTGGCAAAAATATGCACTGGAACCTCTAAACGAATTTTGTAATGATAATTTTAACTAAACAATCTTTAGCAATCTCTTAAACCATTATATGAAAATTATATCACAGTTACAGAAAATTAATAAAAAATTAAATAGAGCAGAGATTGAAAGTTGAAAAAAAAATAAGAAAAGTAAAAATAAAAATTTCACGCTACTTTAAGTAAAATATAGTTATTATATTACTTTTCTAAACTATTTTTATTGATAAAAATGTTGATGCTGGATGGCAAACATGATTTCATTTGCTTTTTAGACAAAATTATTTTTTTAGGTTTTGTGTCTTTTTTTTAGTAAGGCAAAACAATATTCAGAGATGTGTCTTTTTTTTTTTAAAAAAAAAAGAAAAAAACCTGCTCAAATTCGCATTAATTGGAGAGGAACATCAAGTTGAATAAGTATGCGCGATTTTTCTTTTATCTATAGTTCACCCACCGTAAGAAGACGACTGACCTTCAGAGAGAGTTCATATTGTCTCGAGCATATCATTGTGCTCAGGGATCAGCATTGGGTCAAAGCTTTTAACCCGTGTAATGATAGACACTTCTTGAATTCTGTACCTTTGTTTTAACCATGGCGCGTAGTGTTTTTAAAAAGTGCTTAAAGGTGCTTATTTTCGATTTTCGTTTTTAAAAGCCCTTAAAGGTGCTTTTTTTATTGGGTGTTTTTAAAAAGTGCTTAATGAAAAGGAAAGTCGATTTTCGCCACGTATTATGTAAAAACGTGCTTTTCATATTTTTCTGTTCAACGTTTTCAGAATTCATTCAATCACAATCAATTTCAGCGTACCGTTATAGCGTATGAAAGCGCTAATCATTTTACAGGTTTGGTGAAATACTTACGAGACCGCTTGTGCGTCTAGTGAGTTATGTTCGATGAGATTCTGCTGCATTTTGCAAGATATTCTCAATTTCAAGCATTATTTTCCACCCTCTGAAATCGAACCGAAAAATCTCTCGATCATTTTTTAATGGCTAATATAATCAAGAAAAGAGTTCTATGTCAAATTCTAGTTATTTTATCATGATCATGTAAAGTCTTTGAAAATATTTTGCATTTTGTTAGTGTACATAGTGCTTAAAAATATTTTTTGAGTGCTTAAAAGTACTTAAAAGGTGCTTATTTTTTGTTGAAAGATTTGGCTACGCACCCTGTTAACTAATAGACTCGTTCTATGATTTACTATTGGGAGTACAAATTAGTTCGATCTGTTTTCAACAGATGGCTCTAGCTGTTATGAATGTTTCATAGTGACAGCTAGATTCGGTGGTTTAAGAGAGGTTAGACATCTGTCAATAATATTCAATTTATATCGCTTTGAGTTTCATACAAAAACAATGTTTTTTACTTTGTTGAATATGTCAAATTTTGTGGTAACTAAGCAGCATATGCGAGAGGTTTTATGTTTCTGCTTTAATTGGCAGAAAAGTGCAGCTAAACAGCATCAAATGCTTGTAGAAGTTTATGGTGACAATGCTCCAACTGATAAATCATGTGTGGAATGGTTTCGACGTTTCAAGAATGGTGAATCGCGATGTATACTATGAACTGCTACAACCTGGCGATTCCATTCCGGGCGATCGGTATAGGCTACAATTGATTCGTTTGAGCCGTGTATTACGAGAAAAACGGCTGGAATACGAGCAAAGTCATGACAAAGTTATTCTTCTGCATGATAACGGTCGGCCTCATGTCGCAAAAGTCGTAAAAAATTATTTGTAAACGCTCAAGTGGGATATTTTACCACACCAGCCGTATTCACCGGATATTGCTCCTTCTGTTTACTGGCTGTTCCGACGGTTGCAGCAGGATTTGTTAGGTCACCGGTTCACTTTTTTCGCAGAAATCCAAAATTGGCTCCTAGCTTGGATCGCCTCAAAAGACGAGAAATTCTTTCGAGATGGAACTCGAAAATTGCCTGAGAGGTGAGAAAAAGTAGTAGCCAGCGATGGACAATACTTTAATTAATCTGCCCATTCATTTTGTTCTGAAATAAATGCATTTTTGATCACAAAAAACGGACCGAATTAATTTGTACTCCCAATATTTAATTCTCGTCAGGCGGTATATTATATTTCCCTTAAATGATCTTTCTAAAAATCCTTTATTTGAACTAAACTTCATATTTTTAATCGGAAAGAAAGAATTATTTGTAATAGGAAGAAAAATAATATCTCAATAAAATTCTAACAAACGTAGCAAAAATTTAAGAAAAACCCGAAAACGTGTTTTCTCTATTAAAAGATAACGAGTTTTCACTGATTGAAAGATAATCGACTTTATGCACGAACTGATTAGAAAGATATTACTTGCGTGAGTTTATTTTACTTATAAACAAACTGAATACGTTGCGGATTGATTGGTTATATTAAAGTAAATAAACTGTTTTGATGAATTTCACGATTTCAATGCACCGATTTTTTCGGAAATAATAAGATATTTGTTTTAATTAAACGCTTCTATTCTTAGAATATTGGAAGTGAAGTGCATCATAAGGCAACTGCCAGTACTATTTTGTGTCTTTCCGTTATGCACGGTAAGTTCGAATTCTTTGTAAGGAATTATAAATTATTAATTTTACCTATTTTTTCCGTTATGCATGGTAAGTTCGAGTTCTTTGTAAAGAATTAGAAATTTTACTTATTTTTTTCCGTTATACACGGTATATTCGAGTTCTTTATGATGAGTTTATTAATTTTACCTATTTTTTTCCGTTATGCACCGTAAGTTCGAGTTCTTTGTAAAGAATTAGAGATTTTACTTATTTTTTTTCCGTTATACACGGTATATTCGAGTTCTTTATGATGAGTTTATTAATTTTACCTATTTTTTTTCGTTATGCACCGTAAGTTCGAGTTCTTTGTAAAGAATTAGAAATTTTACTTATTTTTTCCCGTTATACACGGTATATTCGAGTTCTTTATGATGAGTTTATTAATTTTACCTATTTTTTTCCGTTATGCACCGTAAGTTCGAGTTCTTTGTAAAGAATTAGAAATTTTACTTATTTTTTTTCCGTTATATACGGTATATTCGAGTTCTTTATGATGAGTTTATTAATTTTACCTATTTTTTTCCGTTATGCACCGTAAGTTCGAGTTCTTTGTCAAGAATTAGAAATTTTACTTATTTTTTTCCGTTATACACGATATATTCGAGTTCTTTATGATGAGTTTATTAATTTTACCTATCTTTTCCGTTATGCACCGTAAGTTCGAGTTCTTTGTAAAGAATTAGAAATTTTACTTATTTTTTTCCGTTATGCACGGTATGTTCGAGTTCTTTATGATGAATTTATTAATTTTACCTATTTTTTTCCGTTATGCACCATAAGTTCGAGTTCTTTGAAAAGAATTAGAAATTTTACTTATTTTTTTCCGTTATGCACGGTATGTTCGAGTTCTTTATGATGAATTTATTAATTTTACCTATTTTTTTCCGTTATGCACCATAAGTTCGAGTTCTTTGAAAAGAATTAGAAATTTTACTTATTTTTTCCGTTACTCACGGTAAGTTCGAGTTCTTTATAATGAATTATTAATTTTACCTATTTCCCGTTATGCACGGTAAGTTTGAGTTCTTTGTAAAGAATAAGAAATTTTACTTATTTTTTCCGTTATGCACGGTAAGTTCGCATTCTTCGAAAAGAATTATAAATTATTAATTTTACCTATTTCTTTCCAAAATCTTTAAGAGTTCTCTCTCTGATTTATATTTGTAAAATTGTAACTGGTTTTTGGCACCAGTTACGTAGTTTCTAACCACTAATGTGAAAGCTTCAATTGAATAAGGTTAGTGGAAGAATGAACTTAGTGACATTTTTAAAAGAATTGCGATTTCTCGGGAAAAGCTCTTATTTAAACATACAGCATTCATTTATATTGCTAAATCTATTCATTCCGAAGGTACTCACTGGAAGAACTGGCTAAGTGACATTATTTGAGTATTCTTTGGATGGAAGAACCAGATAAGTGACTTTGTGATAAATAGTCAATAAACAACCCTAGAAAATCATTTGCTTGACATCGAACGTTAAGGCACAGGGAGAAAATAATTGGCGGAAATAAAAAAAAAAAACTTGAAGCAGCAGCTACCGCGCATTAAGGAGGAATTTATATTTCAGCTTCAATATACAATTTTTTTGTGTTTGGTTCGCATGCGTTTCAGACACACTGCCCAGGTAAAATATTAAATTTTTTTTCTAGGCAAAGTCGCCTTGAAAATAAATACTATTTTGTGCTCAGGTAACTTTCAGTTTATTATAATGGTTACCAGCTGAATACTCGTTTTTCTTTAGGAAATAAAACTAAATAATCAATAAATCGTTAATGATCAATATTAAGAAATCATGCACAAAATTCAAAGATATATGCGGACACAATTAGTTAACTGAAAATACCAGTTTTTATTTATTTATTGTTATTTGTTGCTCTTCCCGATGGCTTTGCGTTATTACATTAAGGAAAACATGTTTTTAGAAGTTCGTACTCTCAAAATGAAGACTAACAATGTTCAGTATAATTTGTCATAATTCTATTACCAGAGGCCAACTCCTGATAGTTAAAAACTGCCATAACCAACAATTTTCTCCTGTACTTATCCAATTCGGTAGGCTGTAAAAAACCCATTTCTTCAGTACTCATAGTAGATATCGTGATACGTATTTATATTAGTATATATATAGTTCATATTAAAAAGCAGCGCCAATAAACATAATATCAATAATACCTATCACCAAACATTTTTCTATTTTTCTGATTAATATTTTTCAATAAGGGAATTATCAGCAATCTGTAAGATGTGCACATTTAAAATATTAAGTGATAAATCCGACTCAATAAGTGTACTTATATGTTTGCAGAATTAATGACAACTTTTTCTTAAAAATCGGCATGGATCAGCGGAGACAGATGAAGTCCACATCTGAACGAATCACAGAGATAGACAGTTAAACTTAATTTTGCTCCCTGCCAGCAGAGATTGCAGTGACTATGCAAATTATACTTTGGTAGAAGCATTTCAGAGCTCTACTGGTATCGGGCTAACCGCGAGAGGTTTTCGTGGTTTTTATCTCCTTTTTGCTCAAATTCTAATTAATTTCAGTTAAAAGAATTCTTTTTGACGGTGAATATGACCTTGTTCTTTTAACAGGTGTTCTTTTGTCTTCGAGAGTCGAGCATGGTGCGTAGCGTTTTTAAAAAGTGCTTAAAGGAGCTTATTTTCGATTCTCGTTATTTAAAAGCCCTTAAAGGTGCTTTTTTCATTGGGTGTTTTTAAAAAGTGCTTAATTTTCCCTTTTCGAAAATGAGATTTTTTTCTTTACCATGTAGATTTTCCCCACGTATTATGCAAAAGCGTGCTCTTAACATTGTTCTATTCAATTTTTTTCACGATTCATTCAACCACAATCTATTTCTTGTGCCGTCGGTCCATAGCATATGAAAGCACCAATCATTTTACATGTTTGATGAAATACTTGCGAGTTCGTATGTGCATCTACTATATTGAGCTGGGTTCGGTGAGATTAATGCACTCTAATGTGCAACTCGGTTGCATTTTGCACGAGATTCTCGATTTCACGCTTCATTTTCCACCCTCTGATGTCGAACTGAAAAACCTCGTGATCATTTTTTATGGCTAATAAGCTAATATAATCAAGAAGAATTCTTTCAGGGTGGCCACCCACCTGGAAAACTTTGAAAACCTGGAATTATCAGGGAATTTTTTTTTTATACTGGAAAAAACCTGGAAATATCTGGGAAATTTGAATAAAAACCTGGAAAAATCAGGGAATTTTAAAGAAAAGCTGGAAATTTTTTCTTTGATAATTTTTTTAGCTTCACTAATTTAAATTATTTACTAATTTTCTTACTTTAAATTATTTCATCAGTTATACCCACTTTCTTTAAACGGAAATGTATCGTCAAACAGTTGAAATATCATCAACTTAGCGATACTTTGCTTGCATCAAAATTTGCTCCATTACAGCTCTGTAAACTAGAATGCCACATAAAATTTTCCCACCGTTGCTAAATGAATGTAGAAACCTTTGACCGCTATGGGACCGTGCAATTTAGGAAAGATTCTGGTGGAGGCGGAGAAAGGGATTAGGATATTAGCTTCTGTTTTTAAATTCTGTCCTTGGGCTGAATCCATTTATGGCTCAAGTAATTATTGGTGGTAATTTTTTTTTCTATCTACAAAATGTTTTTGTATTTTTAACTTTATAAAATTCTCCAAAAATTAGTTGGTTATAATTTAATAATAATAGATTTTATATTGCACTCTTTTTCTGCTCCCATTCAAAGAAATCTGTGAATTATTTTTTCTCAGCAAACCAACCAATCACACATTTTTTTACAATCGCTCACAGCAATGTTTGTCTACAATTGTTGCATTAATGCTAATTTTTTCTATTCCTTTTTAACCTTTTATAACATATTTTAATTTTAAAAAAAGGTTTTTTTAAGAACCAACTATATATTAATATTTAATTTTACTCTTTTGTTGGTCAATAAATGATTTTTGATTCAAAAATTTGTACCAAAACATTAAAAAATAATTAAAAAATCTTGCCAAATTGTCAAAATAAATTATTTTTTTCAAGATGATATGTTAAAAAAATAACATTTTGATTTAAATATTTTATAATATAGACACTTTTCTTGTACACATCCTACACGTTATAAGAAAAAAGAAACAAAAACCTGGAAATTTTAAGATTTTTATCTGGAAAACCTGGAAAAATCAGGGAAATTTGAAATCTGATTTGAGTGGCCACCCTGTGTCAGAAACTAGTTATTTCATCATGATCATGCATTTTCGTAATGTATATAGTGCTTACAAATATTTTTGAGGGCTTAAAAAGTACTTAAAAGGTGCTTATTTTTTGTTGAAAGATTTGGCTACGCACCCTATCAAGGTTAAGAAGTTGAAAGTGGAAAAAAACCTGCTTATTTACTGAGTGGATTGGCGTTCAACGGCGACATGATGATATTAAAGAATTTTCCCAACATTTCAGTTAGTGCATGCTGAATGTTGGCGTTTGCCAAAGTAAACCAATACTGAATTTTCTATATCGTGCCATGAAAATTTTTTTTAAAAATTTCACCTTCATTCCATGTTGTTCCATGATATTTGTTTGCGTAATTAAAAGTAATTGGTATTTAACAGATATTTTTGACATTCACTAAAGTGTTTAAGTGATTTCACTTATTTCATCTTTATTTATTTATCAACGACACATATTTCATCTTTAACATTGGGGTAATTCACGTTAACCTTAAACCCGTGTTCAGCTTACGTAAACCTTAAGCCTGCAATTAAATATCAATGTTTTCTCATAAAGATAAAACTGGATATCAGAGTACTGAATAGCTTCTTGCTCTTTAAGTTATCGCCCAAAAAATATTTGTAAAGATTTTTCAGCGCTTTAATTTCTGCTCCAATCGACCAGCTTTTGAATATTCCAGAAACGTTTATTTTTTTGATCGAATTCTTATTAATTAAATTTAAATACCGGTGGCAAATTTTAATTGCTGAAAATAAAATTTAATCCTAGTTGCTGCTGCTTTTTTAACTTGAATTTACTGGTATATTTCCTTCTACTAATAAATTTTTTTACAGTTAATGTAATGCGTTCAACTGATTACATTCTGTTAATTTAGTTTGTTTCAGTTTTAATTTTCAAATTTTTTTAGCTTCTGGTTTTGAAAGCGGATGTCTCAATAGTCTATGGTTTTTAACCGGAATTATTTCATTTCCTGGTGTAATATCAGTCAGTTAAAAAATTCACAGCACTGGAAAACTAAATAATTTTCCATTTCGCCGGCGCAAGTACATTCAGCTATTTTATTTATTGGATGAAAAAAATATCATATCCTTAAAAAAAAGAGCAGAACTTAATTGTTTCCGACGACTTTGCATTGGCGATTTCATCACCTGTGTCCGCAGTATGGAAAACTACCGAGAAACGGAATTATCCGGAAAAAACCAGCAATTGTTTTAATATTCCTAATTTTTTCTGACTTTTCCTTTGTCTTTATTCAGTATTTTTTCTGTTCTTGTCGTAGAACGCTATTTCGTGTCTGTTGTAACTCAATGTCTGATGTAACTCCCCAGTACTACGGTCTTAAAATTTGGACATCGAATACACGGAGTAATTTTAGTCCCCGATCTTAAAAATCGTTTGAAGATTTTAATTAGTTGGTTTGAGAGAGATGTACGTAAATTGAATTTTTCGAATTATTCGTTTAGGGTTAGCCATTGTTATAAATTAAACTGTGGATGATCCTGTTATCAGGGCCTGCCTAGGTTTTTGTGAAAGGTACCTATTTTGTGAAAATTTAGACATAATTTGTGAAAAATTAAAAATTATATTAAAAAATCAATACAAAAACTTGGCTAAAATATAGATTTGTAGTTTCTTAAGGGATACAAAAATGAAATTTTAGGAAGAAGTATTTTGTGAAACTACCGTTTTTCCTAAAGTTGAATTTGTGAAACTACCGTTTTACCTAAAATTGAATTTGTGAAGGTACCGATAAACGGTAGTAAATTCGGCCTGGACAGATCCCTGGTTATTGTGCGTTTTTGCTATGTTCGATTATTTTTTACAAGCTCGGTGATCAACTTGAATGGCATGGGGATCGGTGATGCTTCACCGAATTAATATTTCTAAAGTTTTCTGAAACCACGTGCTTAGTTTGCTTATAGTTTTGCTTTTGAAACGCATTTCGATGAAACTTAAAAGTTTAAAATAATGGTTATTGAAATAAAGAATAATAAGTTATGTCCTAAAAAGCGAAGTTAATGACGAATATGTACTAGTTCGTTTAGGGAATCGGCATATTACTAACGCGGTGAAGCATTATAAATTTTGATAATTAGTACTACAAATATTATGGTAATTAATGCTGTTTACCAAATATACAAATATCGTATATAGATACTGTAGGTACTGCAGTAATATGTTTTTGAGGTACACTGAAAAGGATAAGTACTCAAGAAAATTGCTTGATTGCATTAAATTTTGACGATCATGAGATGGACTCAAACAACAACATCACACCAAAAGATATTGATTACAAATAATTTTTATTGCAAGGAGATGAACTTCTACAAAAATAAATAAAAAACGCTAAATAAATATAAAAAAAGGGAAATATGTCTTAAGTAATTGTGTTATGGCTTTAGTAATATGTCTTTCAATTTTGTGCATGATTTTGATACTGTATCAACAGTACAAAATCATGCGGAAGAGTTGTGTGTCGGTGCATTGTAAAATACTCCGGATCAAATTATGGTATGAAGTTCCGGTACTTTGCGTGCACCATCTGTAAAATCTGTTTTATACTGTAAAAATTATAGTATATTAGTTAGATTTTTTCCTTAACAGGTTCTGATAAAAAACGGATTTTACGATAAAAGTGCCGGTACTTTTTTACCACAATTTGATCTGGAATGAAATGTTGTCTTAATTGTGAAATATATTTTGGTCTGTTAGTGAGACAGAAGAGGGAAGTAGTGAATCTGCGTCTTTCTAAGGAAGGAAAATTTAAAGTATTTAATTCTGCTTTAATTCCGTTTTTCTTTAAACTTATAGCAAAACGACCAAGTTATTATATGCTACGTTTTTTTTTTACCAAAGATTTTTTCAAGCTTTAAGTGCAGAAAATCTATCAGTTCCTAATTTTCTTTCTGAATGGTTACGTAATTTTTCAAAATTCAATTTTAATAAAATTTAGTTCATTATACTTTTAATAACTAGCACTCTGGAACTAAAACCAATTCGGATGAAATATTATTTACTAGGAGGCTCCGCCCCCTGCTCGCTAACGCTCGCCAACCCCCGAGAATTGCTACGCAATCCTATGTGGTTCACGCCGTGAACCATGGCTCGCTGCACTCGCTCGGCAATGAACACAATGTTCTAGCACAAAGACATAATATATTATCATTAAAGACATAGTATTTTATCATCAAAGACATAGTATTGTACTTATGTAGAGGAATTCTATCAATGTTCTTATTGGCTTTTAAAAAAGTATATTAGCTATTTAGATTGTACATGATAAATAATCAATACATTAGCTAAATAAGAAACATATTAGCAAATTAAATTATCAAATATTGCAGTTACTCACCTAAATTCAACTAAATGTGTATAATAAATTAGTTAATGCTAGAAATTCTGAAAGTTTTAGAAATTTTTATTATTTTAAAATATAAACTTTAAACCCTAACTTTTCCTTGTGAGATAATAACCTTCAAAAAGTCTTTCATTTTCAAGAACACAAAAATTTGTTTTATCGCCAAATGAAATATTTTTTGGTGATCAGCATTATTGAAATCAATTTCTATATTAATTATCATGTGTGATAAAGTACATAACATATTAGAACAGAATAAGGATGTTTTACATACAATAAATAAAATGCATGGCTGTAAGCATTACCCGAGAAATACCACGTGGAGGTCGCCATGCTGCATTTCTAATCGGGGAGTTTTGATTTTGGCAGTTCCCCTTGCCTACTGCCAATAGAAATTTCAATTAAATTTTTTTCCAAAAAAACATTTTTTTCTGTAAAGCGCTAAGAAATTAGCACTAAGCATTTAGAATTTCTTTGAAAACACAATTATAGATTTGGCATCTTGGAGCAATTACTGAAAGGCTGTCAAATGACTTAACTCTTGACAGGCCAACATAAAGTTGTCCATGACTAAAAACTTGTTTAGTCAACACTAAACTGATTTTCTCAAAAGTCTGACCTTGTGACTTATTTTTAGCTATGGAGAAGGCCAGCTTAATTAATTCCTAATTGAGTTTAAATTAAATATTATCATGTTCTTAGGGCATGAATCTGAATTGAACAACCTGACAATGCTCACTCTGGTTATTGTTTCCGTTTTTAAAAGCGCTATATGTTGAGCCACCTCATGTGACATTTGCCATGAGACATTTTTAGCAGCAATCATTGGTCGATTTTCTAACGTTGCCATTCGGGGAGTTGTAATGAGGCTTTTTTTTGGTGCCGTGTACGAGAAATATATATATAGATATCTGAATTAAATAATTTATTTGATGCTAAAAGTTCTCTCTTCTCTAAAATAAATATCTGTTATAAATGAAAATAACGATGTTCTTTACTCTTATCTTTACTCTTGTTTGATTCCTATTTTTTTGTTTCGAGTTTTTATCATATATAGTTTATAGTGCCGTTGATTTTGTCTTTTTTAATAAGTAAAATCGCAATCGCATCTTTCTGAATGGTTATGTAATTTTTCAAAATTCAATTTTAATAAAATTTAGTTCATTATACTTTTAATAACTAGCACTCTGAAACTAAAACCAATTCGGATGAAATATCATTTATATCTGAATTAAATAATTTATTTGATGTTAAAAGTTCTCTCCTCTCTGAAATAAATATCTGTTATAAATGAAAATAACGATGTTCTTATGAATTTTTAGTGATCTTTACTCTTGTTTGATTCCTATTTTTTTTGTTTCGAGTTTTTATCATACATAGTTTACAGTGCCGTTGATTTTGTCTTTTTTAAAAAGTAAAATCGCAAGTATTTTTATTATTTAATTCAGCGTATTACAAACGCATTCATCTAGAAAGTTAGCGTATCCTCTGTGGTAGACGGATCATTGGTTAGAGTGCCCTTGCCATCAGGAATTCGAATATTTTCGTAGTTTTCTACACTATGTAACTCAAATTCGCTAGTTCCATCTAAAAAGTCCTCCACGAAAGCAAATTTCACCCAATACTTGATCCAGGAGTTTCCTTGTCTTCTGTATTGGGTTAAAAATTACAAAGCTACGCAGTTGAACATAGGTAGTGATAAATTCAAAATTGAATTGATTGTTCACCCAATGATATAAAATAAAATAAAATATATTGTCAATATGTCTCATTCATTACTTTTCATTGTGTCACATATTCTGCTTTCCTAAATTTAAATATTTTTTTTCAAATACAATTGATTATTTTTCAAATCCAGATATCCTTTCTTGTAGTTACTGTTAACATATTTAAAAAAATGCTTACATGAAGTTATAATCATCATATGTTTAATAAACAAGAAGATTTTTTTATCGACTTTTGAAGAAAAAGAAAACAATGATGACCAACCACCGGGATTGGTGAGCGAAACGCACAGGGGATGGAGCCTCCTAGTCTTTGTTAAATTAACCATGTAATTATGTTAATATTTACACAAATGCTTTGATTTTTTAAATTAAGTATTACAAAATTATGTACATAAAATTAATTTCTTTCACTTTATCGTAATAATATCAATTTATTTCAAACAATGGTGCTGATCTTATATCTTTTCCTTTTTTTCTCTCATATTAGCTAGCATTGGAAGCATCAGAACAATCAGACTGCTGGCAAAGTTCATCACAGCAAGCAAATAATAAAGTCCATCGTATGATCCTAGATTCTCCCTAAAATATCCTGAAAAATGTAAAAAGATTCATGCATTATCAATGTGATTTATGCAATGTTTTGAACATTTGTGACTAATTATGTTGTGTGACTAAATAATATGCGGTTAGCTATAAGGAGAAATATGGCCAAATCTACTTCGGAACAAATATGACAAATGCAGATTTGAAAATTTTTTTAAAATAAAAGTTAAAATGACAATTTTAAATGTTAGTTCGCTATTATTCTCATTATCAAAGAGTCAATTCAAAGAAGGTAAGTAGATTTTTTGGGGGGAAAGGGGGGGAATGCAATGTTATTGTCGCTTATTAAAATTGTTTAGGACAACACTTTTGGTAAAAACACCAAATCTAAAAGTAGTATTTACGTGTAAATACGACTGTTATTTAATAAGAATTCCTTAAACTTATGAAGTACTGATCTGGAAATAATAAGGAACAGTTTTATTTAAAAATGTCCCATTTGGAAAAAGTGATTTATCTCTATATTATACCCAAATACTTTATATTCTGTTTTAAATAAAGTAGAGAAGATCAGGTCTTGCTATCAAAAAATACTTTCAATTACTTAAATTGATGTTTTTTTTAAACACCAATCCCGCAATGAACTGATCTTTGATACATACAGTGTTCCTAGTAGAACACTAAAATCAAGCATCACTGACTGCGGTCCGAATGCGGGTGGGTGACCACTTAAACGAGTCTGCAAAGGGACAGAGGATGAACGGTATTGGCCCTCGTTAAATTGTTCTTCCGTAAAGTGCTCGACGTCGAGCGCAGGTCGTTAGGCTACCAAAGTGGGGTAAAAATTATTATTAAAATTTTTTTTTGTAAATGAGAAAGAATCTTAATTTAGTTTCATTTAACTGTACAGCATTCATTCACTTTGATGAATCTTTTAATATCGCAAAACTTGGTGAATGAAGGGACAGACTATCTTTTGAAAGTTTTTGGAATGCAAGAAATGCATTTAGCAACAGATAGGCGATTTATCTTAAAAAGGATTACCAAACTTGCGGATTTTGCACATTTCAGGGGTTGAAGTTACTAGGCAATCTTCGAGTGTTTTTGAAGGGGAAAAAGGCTTTAAGTACCATGAGCTACAAAAAGTGGACCAATAACCTGAGAATGTCTCTCTTTTGGCAACAAATTTAAAGCCAAAAACGCGAACGCTATGTTGCAAAAAATAAAATTAGAGCTCTATATTTATAGACCTCGCCAATTGAACGAATTGAAATAAAGTAAAATTTTTTGTATTCTATTGTCAACATATAAACTTAACAGGGTGATAAAAGTAATCCACGCTCTAAGTGAAATTAGATTGAAACTGATTGATAAAATTTATTTTTTAAAAATTTTAATCCACTTGACTTTTCGCATATTTTCCTCACCAATCTGTGCCTGCATAACGCACAGAAATTGCAGAAAAATTCTTAGAATTGCCTTCCCTTAAAATTTTTTTACAATTCCAAAAAACAATTGCCATAGAATTTCTCCAAAATTAATGTCACTATAGCTTTATCAAATAAATAGAATAATTCTTACCTATTAAGGGGGACACTGTAAAACTTAAGGGTGCGTACAATGAACCATAAGAGGCAATGGATAGTATCTGTTTATCCTTTTCAATATATGCATAACTCATTCCAGGGCATATGCTCAAATATGCTCCACTAGTAAATGTCATTAACATATTGCCCGATGCTAACATTGCAAAATCTTTTGCTACAGCAATCCAAATGCTTGAAATAGAAAGTGACATAAATAAAAGTGCGCCCATCTTTGCTATTGAAAGATAGCCTTTATCTGTTACCCATGCGAGAGCTACGCGTCCAATTATGTCTGTGATTGGGTTTAGTGTCAAAAGGTATATTTCGAAACTCCTATCGATTTCTTTATCTCTGGAATAGTCTATTAGTGTAGTAAGCCACACATGATATGTGTAAACAGCAATACCCTGTATGAACGTCAAAACTATAAACGTTGGATCTCTTAGAACGTTTAATGAGTGGAATAAGTTTTTGTTCTTTCCTTTATATTTGTCAGATGTTATTGCATTTGAATGTTTCGCATTGGTAAACTCTTTTTGGATGATTTCTTGCACGTTATTATTTGAAGGAGCGATATCAACGTCTTTTAAAACTGGTTGAGGATGATCTTTTTTCTGTACTTGTACTTGGTAATTTTCAGAAATTATTTCAATTTTGTTTGGATGTGAAAACCTTTGTGAATCAGGTTTCTTTAACAGAGTTAAACATGAGCACCCTTCTTGGCTATGCTGCATACATTTTGGAATTTTCTTTTCAATGAAAGTTGAAGTTATTTTCACGATGTTAAGATCATCCTTTAACTGTAGCGTTTCTGAATGACCTACACTATCTTTGTTGGTCCTAATGCGATTTGTTTCTGTAGCAAATGTTTCCTCGTTATGAATTTTGCCTTGCTGAGAAATGGTTTCATGTATCATGTTATTTCGGGTTACTTGCATTTCAACTTTAGGTGTAATTTTTTTCGGCTTTTTCAGTATCATGATTAGAGGAAGTGAGTTGAGTAAGATAGCCGAAGAAAGCAATAAAGCTCCTGAAACACCATACACGTCTAAAAAATACATTATAACACCGGGAAAGGCGATACCACATATGCCTGGTCCAAGGTTAACTATTGCATATGATATAGTAGTTGCATTGTGATCAAAATGACTTCTTATGATAGATGGCAGTAGCGCTGTACATGTCATTCCAAAACCTATGATAGAAAAAAAATTAACACACTGTGTTGTCTATTTCCCTATTTTAGTTTATACGCAAAAGAAAATTGTAAAATCGGAAAAAAGATGTCAAAATTAATTCCCGCGATTGTTTTCCAAACAGTAACATTTGCTTATTTGATAAAAAAAAATGATTGTTGCTTATGATGGTTCGATAAAATATCAGTAAATAATTGCGATTTGTAGTATATTTAACACAATATTAAATATCACTTTTTAACGAAATATTAAATTGATTCAAATTAAGCAATATCGCCAATTACATTTGTTAGCAAGTATAACAATAGTAAACCGGTTACCTATACATTTAGAACCTATACATTTATAAACATCGTTCTGTTCGTTTTGTTATCACGAAAAAAAATGCTTGAACAATAGTAAAAAAATCAAGAGAAGATCAGTAAAATGATGCCAATTGGCAGTATCTTCTTGTATATATGATTAGGGGGTGAAATATCTAACAATCATATTTTTAAAATTGAAATTAAATTTCTAGTCAAAAATAGAAAGCTTGGATTTACAACAAATTATGAAGAGATTAATAGTAGAGTTTATTTTAAGAGAAGTACATTGAAATTAAATATGTTGGGAATATCATTGTAACAAGACAATGCCTACTTCCAGTTTTTAAATTTGTGGTGAATTCCAATTTGGTTAGTTCTTTCGTTTATTCGTTTTTATATACATGTCTAAAAATGTTATTATAAAATACTGCCTACTGTAGATGCTTTTTTTCCAAAAATAATTATGCTATTTCGGAACACTCCTCAATTAAATTAATGGATCATTTTTGAGATTCGTGATTATTCGCTGATGAAGTACGTTTCTATTAGCATCATCTATATACGGTCATATCTATCATGGTTATATCTGCTTTTGCTATTTTGAATATCAGCCATATAGCTAAATAAAAACACAAACATGTTGTTGTTGTGGCTTATCCTACAAATGCCTGACGATGTCAGACAAGATCCATCAGACCGTTGACCCTAAGAAAATCGTGGACCAGAAGTGGGATTGAGCATATGCAGGATTGCCACAGGCGACTAAAATGCAACTATTTTCAGCATGAGGCGACTATGGCAACTTTTTTTTGCCTGAAAAGACTAAAAAAGCAACTATTTTCAGGAAAAGGAGACTATTAGGAGACTTTTCTGTACTCCTAGCAATGTTTTTTTAGCATAATTGGGTTGAAAACCTGCCGCGAAATCTTCTGAAGACGCTGAATTTCTTTTCTTAGGAAATGTAAAATAAAAATAATAAAATTTAAAGAAATTAAATAAGTAATTAAAAATTAAAAAGTTTTAGATTGCAAATTTGAGTCATCACTTTTTAATGCGTTCAATTTGCATAGATTCTAAGTCTATTTCATTTCTCGATCGCCTTTTGAACGATTATTGCTAAGAAATTCTGCATGATTTTAAAAATCCCAATTTTTAATACGATGCATGAATTTTGAATTTGAGTATTCACTTTTCACAATATATATATATTTGCTCAATTAATTATTGATAAAAGGGAAAAATTTTTAGAATTTTTTTTCTAATGAAAAAGTATTTTTTTGAATGAATTCTAGTAATTAAAAGTATTTAATTTTCTGCAAATATACAAATTTTTTTTTATGTTGAACTTTAGTGCTAAAACTCTAACGTTTATATAAAAATTATCATATTTCCNTATATATATATATAGATATTTTTTTTATATAAAAATTTAGTGCTAGAACACTAACGTTTACATAAAAATTATCGTATTTGCCACCAACTTGACTAAATGTATGATGGTATATGACAATTAAGTCATTTAATAAAATTTTAGAGTTATTTTTGCTGAATTTTTGTTCTTATTTAGGCAACTATTTTCATGCTTTAGGCTACTAAAATCAACTATTTTGTTCATTTTTTTCTGTGTCAACCCTGTATATGTCGTCTCTAGAAAGTCCCTAACAGTACAGGATAAACAAACATAAAATTTACAATATATTGAAAATAATTTATTCTTAACAAAATTTACCATAGAATAATCCTATAGTGACGGATAAAGCAATGACATCTTGGGCAAAGAAGCTCGCTGTTAATCCTATTACACAAAGACAGCAACCAACCAAAGTCATGCAACGAAGACCAAACCTTTCCCCCAGAATTCCATAGATCGGACCTGATGAAAAAAACTTTTATTGGTTTTCATGCTGTTATTCAATAAAATTGATAAGCAGTGCGCAAAATAAAAAATCTTAAAGGTTTCAAAGGAAGACCTCAAATATGCTAATTAATGCAGAAGATGTTCTCATTGGATACTAAATATGCTTTTAAACATGAAATTCTATAGAACAAGGATAAGGTCAGTAGCCTTTTAACAAAAATGTCAGAGAAAAATTAATTTTTTAAAATATATAGATTATTGGAAAAGTCTGAAATTCAGCATTCTATAGAATATCTAGGCATATTTTAGAATACTTGAAATTTGTGAGCAGAGTATGAAGTGAATAAACATTCAACACATCGCTTACTCATTCACATGATCAGACCGAAGTATGAAATGCATCAAACATTTGTTAAGATGCATGAATATTGCTTAAGAAAAATGTGAGAATAAACTTTTTTTATAACATATAGGTTAGTAAAAAAGTCTGAAATCCGGCATTCTATAGAATATCTAGGTATTCTATAGAATATCTTATATTGAATGTTTAAAATTGGTGAGTAAAGCATGTAGCGATTTAATATTTAACACACTCCATACTCATTTTCATGAAGAACAAACTTGCAAAGTATGAAATGCATCAGGCATTCTTTAAAATACATGCTTTTTTTTAACCAAACAATATAAAACCGAAACCGCGAATAAAACTGATTTTCTTATAACATATAGGTTGATGAAAAAGTCTGGAATCTGGCATTATATAGAATATCTAGGTATTTTATCGAATACTTCAAAGTGGATAGCAAAGTATGAAGCGATTTAGCATTTAATTCATTGCTTACTCATTCGCAAGAGAAATAATCAAACAAAGTATGAAACACATCAGGCATTCTACCTAGACCTACAAAATTTCTAGATCATCTGTAGAATACCGGCTTACCATACATTTCTTCTTGTTACATATCAACTGCCAGCGTTTGTTCGTTTAGTTTAGAGGAATGATTTTTTAGCGGGTAATGATATAAAAATTACTGAGATTTTTAAGTTTTTTTCACACCTAATACCATTTCAAGTAATTACTAGACTTTTTATATATGTGTTTATATAATTCGTCAGAAGTGTGGTTAATATTACTTTAAATAATATTAATTAAATTAAGTATAAAATATCAAAGTATAATTTTACATTTCAAGGACTTTGGAATTGAGGAGTCAGAGAAAATTTGCAGCCTGAGAATTTAAAGAGATTTTTAATTTATGAAAATCCTTTCCTCTTCTTTCACTACAGCACGTTACTAGCCAAGGCAATCCTGAGTTGTCTTTGCTGTCTGGTCCTATCCACAAAATCGTTTAGATAAATATTCATTAAGTAAACAAAATTATTATTCCAAGGAATATTAAGGCCCTTGTCACAAGCTTAATACCACTTTTTGAGCCTATGTTTAACAGAATGATTGAAAAACATCACTGTGAAATGCCTGGGTATTCTATACTTAGGCATTTCATAGAATACCTTGCGTTCACACATATTGTCAGCATTTCATACTCTTCTTATATTTTTAACGTTTTGTCAGCAAAATCTGAATGAATTAATAATATTTATAAAAAGTTAGAAGCAACTAAAAATATTCAATAGTAATAAGGGTAAACGCTTACCCGATGAACATCTTACAAATCCTAACACAACGAATGGTATAGATGCACTTTTTCTATCGATGTCGAAATTGTCTACGAATTCTGCATAAAATATTGCAGCTAACCTGTACACAGGTGCAAATAAACAGTAAATAACAGCACAAGCAACAGCAACAATCCAGCTTCTCCAGCTATTAAGACCGGTCCTTTTCATTACAATATTAGGTCTGGAAAAATTGAAAACTTAATTAAAAAATCAGATGATAAGCATTAAGACTAGGAAATTATATTTAAATATTTGTAAAAAATTCATAATTAATCAGAGAACAGACATTCCTTACAGACTTATATTTTAAATTTGAATATCTTTGAAACATACATTAAATTTAAAGTTTGTATTATTTACTTAAGGAAACATTCATGTACCCCTCTAACTCAGAATTTTTATTTAATATATTTTAATACATTTTTCATTCTTTGTCTTTAGGTCAAAATAATTGAAGTATTTTATATTAAGCATTTTGATAATTTATGGTTATAAAATACAGCTTGAAACATCGGTGTCTTCTTCTGCGTTAAAAGTAAAATCTTCCAAACACGGCTGGCTCACTTCAAAACAAATTTTTTTTTCAAATCTGCACTTATATATATATATATANTATATATATATATATATAAAATATATAGAATAAACACTGGTGTAATGTCTGCTTCAAAGAGAAACCTTTTGAAATTAATTATTTAAATTTATTGGGCGTAAAACACTAGTGATAAATAATTCATCAATCAAATTTATCTATTCTTTTATGACTAAAAAAATATTTCAGCTCTTTTATTTTTTTGTGCTAAATGTATTTAAGTATTGCATTTTGAAAATATTCGGCATTATTAGAAGATAATTAGTATAAACTATTTAACGAAGTTCTTCAACGAAGGAATGGTAGATACTAGTTTTTCATTACGACAAAATCTTCTCAATTAAATTTCATAATCACACTTTATAATAAATCACATATAGCTGTTTTTGAATATTATAATCTTTTCCCAAGAATTAAATATATAGAAGTATATTACTGAAATATAATACATAACTGATCTATCTGGTGATACTTTATTTTATAACTGTTGTTGAAAAGCCGATCTAATTTTGCGTTTGCGATTACCAATGTTCAACTCAATAATGCTCAACTCTAATTTATCTTGTTGTTTTGAACCCAATTCAAAAGGCAAGGATGAGAATTGGGAAAGAATTGGGCGAAACTTGCCTTCGTGGAGGACTTTTTGTTGGAACTAATCTACATTTATGTTACACGGAGGAGACCACGAGAACCTCTGACGGCAAGGGAACACTAACCCATAATCCGTCTACCACTGAGGATATTTCACTTCAGCACTGTGGTCGATGCAAGCCAGATGCGGAATTTGTATCGACTAGCAATCGCTGGAATTCGAACTCGGTTCATCTCATTGGAAGGCGAAGGCTCTGTCCCCTGAGCCATCGCGGCTGTAATGAGCTTCATGTAAAACAGCGCTCAATCAACATATGTGGTTAAAATAATGAATACAAAATTGAAAAGGATTATTATGAGTATAAATTAACTTTTAACTATACTATTCAACGATCTCTTTGGAGAAAAACATTAAATAACTTCTTGTTGTAACCAAAATTTAAGTAAGAATTTATCAAACAGGTTTGTGGATGAAATTGCATTTTCAACGGGGTAAAGTGTTCAGATTCAAAATTTGCCCCTATATATAATACCATACAATAATGGAAGAGAGGCTTTCAGATGTTGAAATTTTTTTAAATTTCTCATTGAAATACTTAGGATTATTTTGTAATATTATAAGTGTTTAGTTCCTGCAATTTATCATACTTATCAATAATGGTTAATGGTTATCAATAATGGTTTGAGGAATTGGAAATAAATTACGAAAGAAAACACGCACCCTATTTTTAAACACCCTACGTCAAAAAATTAAGCAATACTCTCGTGACTTGTATCGATTATTTTGGTTATTATTTGCAATTATTGCATTAAATTTCGTATTCTTAGACAAATTATTTATGGAGATAAAGACATTTTTTATAAAAAAAGTATTTTTTGTCTTACATATTTTTGCTATAACTTTAAAAACATTCAATAAAATTAAACAAAACTTTTGGAGTATTTTAAAGTTGATTACAAAAGTATTGTTTTAAAATGTGAAGAAATTTCATTAAACACGCTCGGAAAAATTTAAAGTTTTTTCTTTTTAATTTTGTAGTTGTTCGCAACTAATAGAAAACATCTGATTTGAATATCTTAAAAATTCAGAAGGTTTCAAGAAATTTTCTAAGAAGTTTTTGTACTTTTTAAAAAGAAGTTTAAATTGATCGGAGATTTTCTAAAAAATGTATTATGTAGTATGGTAAATTACACAACTCCTTAATAACCTATACGGAACCGCATGTGCCTTGCAAATGAATTACTTTAAGTACTCATATCTTGCACAGTTCTTAATGAATTTTCTTCAAATTTTGAAACAATAATTTTGTAATTAATTTAAAATTACTCAAAAAATTTTACATTTATACCAAAAAAACGTAAGATAAAAAATTAGTTTTTATTAAATGTCCATATTTCCATAAATATTTAAGTAGGTTCACAAAATTTTATGCAATTATTGCAAATGACAATCAAAGTAATTGACGCCAGTTACAGACTGCTTAAGTTACTTATTGCTTAATTTTCTGCCTTATAGAGTTCGAATATTTTTTCGTAATTTATTGTCGGTCCCGCTAACCTCCGAAGGCTTCAAACCTTATTGCTAAGTATGAAAAATTACATGAACTAAACATCTCTGAAGTTACAAAATAGATCTCTTAATATTTTTTGAAAAATTTTAAAAAAATTATCAAAAACTGAAAATGTCTCTTCCATTATTGAAGGGTAGTGTATTTGGGAACTAAATTTGAGAACCAAATTTGTGTCAAAACAATGCAAAAAACTGAGATAATTTAATACCGTAAACCGGGGCGAGTCTACCCATTTTTTCAGTTTGTCAACTTTCAAGTGGTCAAACTTTTGTAAATATTAAAGAAAAAAGGCTTTTAATAGGTGTTTCGGAATCGCTATTTATCCCTCTTTAAAGCTGTGAAATCGATTTTAGAAAATATTAACAGTTACGCTGTTACTGTATATTTTTATAGAACTGCTGACAAATCTCTCGTATGGGGCGAGTCTACCCATTCTACTAAAATGAATGTTAACATTGTAAATAATCAAATTTTACTATTAAATTGTTATTTTAGTTACTATATAGGATATTTATGAAGCAAAATTCATAACTTTATTATATATTCCATTTTTTTATTCATAAAATAGCACAAATTGAGTATTTGATCAATTATCACATTTTGATCACAGTTTTGTCTTTATAATCATTAACATTATAAAAGAACATTTTTTTCTGATTATTGTTGATAAAAATAAATTAAAATGAATATAAATTTGCAATTAAATAATTAATAAATAATAATAATTAAAGATTATTAACAAAATCGAAATTCAAACATTGGGAATCATGAAAAATTTCGTATGAATATAATTTTGAACCATATGTAATATAAATAATAATTTATTTAACTTGCATTAAATAAAAAAAGTTAATTTTGTAATATAAAAATTTAAAAAATAAGTAAAATAAACATATTTTATATTTACATTTATATTTAACCTATAAATTTTCTTATTAATGATAAATTTATCAATGCAGAATTAAAATAATATACTCAAATTCATTTAAAATGACTTAATTTTAATATAAACAAAGTTCTAAATTATATTATTATGCTTTATTAAAACTAAATACGAATGGGTAGACTCGCCCCGCGAATTCTGGCTTTTTGTTTACAACAGCAAAACTTACATTCTTTTTGTTTTTTTTCATATAAAATTAATGTAATCTTAGTCTTAGATAAGTTTATCACTTAACCAAAGTGAAAATAGTAATAATAATAATATACTTACGGAGCACCAACTAAAAGTTTGCTGATTTTCAATACAAATCTCTCAAAAGACGTTTGAACAGGTCGGTTAAAAAGACACCAAATAAATAAAAACGGATCAAACTACTACAGCGCCATCTTCCTTAGAGTCTGAACTAAGTCCTCCGTCGGTAAAAATTTTTTTATTTGCAATTTAAAATAGTGAAAATTAAATAAAACTAAAATGGGTAGACTCGCCCCGGTTTACGGTACATCTTAATTTGATGCAACAAATTATTTATAATGAAGAAATAAAAATTATTGCATAACAATAGAGGAGGTTGCTTATGGAAATGTAAAGGAGGCAAAGCCTTCTACTTAATAATAATTATATGAAATGAAATACATTCTTACCTTCATTTGAGTATGATGAGAAAAAACCTTTTCCCCATACAACTTAAAATCTTTTTTCCCATCAAACACACAAATCTGATTATCGACTGTATTTTCTTTTCGTCAATTGACACACCAACAAGATTACAGTTGGTTAGAGATTAATATCTACTGACATTGAAAGATTACCTCCCTGAAATAAAGTAAAGCCAGTTTTTTTCGATGTTTGATAGGTTTAAGAATCCTGTGTTTAAAAATAACTATAGCAACTATAAATTTAGCTTATCAGGCCCCAAGTCCTTGATTTTCAGGAACGTGTTTTTCTTTTCTAAGAAATAAAAACTGAAAACCCAGTTATATACTAATCAGAAATTATTTTATTTAAAAAAAATAAGGAATTTCGTTTTCACCCGCTATATATAAAAAACAGCCCTCTCTCCATTCATTACTAATTCTCTCATTTCTCAAGAAGTTAGACAGCTAAAATGAGGACCACGTGCTCTTTATGAGGTAAATAAAAAAAAAAGAAACTGAAAAAAATTAATTTAGATATTTTGTAGTTGTCGGGGTATTTAGGGGTTATTAAAATAATCGACTGTTATGTTGAAAAACTAAGAAAAAAATTATTTCGATATTTTGTAATTATCAGGGTAGTTGATATCAATAAGGAAGATTGAAAAATTTCAATTTCCATATTTTTTTGTTATCGAGGTATTTAGGGGGTAACTAGCCTTAGCGACTGTTATGAAGAAGAACTAAAAAAAGTTTTTTTTCGATATTTTGTTTTTATCAGGTTAGTTGAGATAAATAAAAAAAAAAACTGAAAATTTTTAATTTCGATATTTTGTTGTTACCAGGATATTTAGGGTGTAATTATCCTAAGCGACTATTTTAAGAAAAAACAACAACAAACTTTTTCTCGATATTTTGTGATTATAAGGATAGTTGAGATAAGTAAAAAACTGAGAAATGTTTATTTCGATATTTTGTAGTTATCTGGGTATTTAGGGGGTAATTAGCCTAGTAGAATGTTATGAGGAAAAACTAAAATGAAGTTTTGTTTCGATATTTTGTAGTTATCGGGGTATTTAGGGGGTAATTATTCTTATCTACTGTTCGAGGAAAAACTAAAACAATGTTTCATTTCGACGGTTAACACGATAGCTGAAATACTGAGATATTTTAAAACATTTAAAAATTTTGGCAACTTATTCGGCAACTCGTTCTCTTTGTAGTGACTTGACGCATCGAAACGCCATTTCAGAAGATTCAAAATATGCAGATTCCTTCTATAAAATTTTCATCCTCATTTTTACATTATTTAAATATACATGTATAAAGTGATAAGTATATTATTCCAAATATACCCATACTTATGAAAATAATTGAAATTGAAGCATTCATCAATGAATCACCTAAAAAATAAAATTAAAGAAAAAGCGGATGCACAGTGTGCAAAAAAAGGACGAAAAAACGGACCACCCGGAATAACTTTTGATCTATCTTCACGATTTAGGACTTAATCTTAATGGTTCGAAGGGAAGACCTGAAATATGCTAATTAATTAGTGATAATGAAATTTTAAGTTACGAAATCAAACACAAAAACGTACTTTCTCCGAATAAACAAACATTTTTTTGACGAATTCAAATTTTTGTTTGACTAAATATAGGGGCCGGCCGCAATCTGGGAAATACCTTTAGTTTAGTCCATAGTTTGGTCGGGAAAGCGATCAAAAGTATAGACCACTCAATGATAATTTTATTTTTTGCGTATTTCACCATATGTTGAGAGCTTTTTAAGTGAATTGAAAATTTTTTACACACAATTATAAAATTCCTTTATCCAAATCACGTTCAACAAGTCATAAAATCAGTAAACGTATTTCTTTTAAACTGCTGTTTGTAGAAAATGCAACACCATGAAGGAATCATCAGAATCAAATGAAATATTATTTTAATAATGGATATAGGATATTATGCAAATTAATAAAGTTTCAGAGCCATCGCGCGTGCGTGGCGCGCGCAGCGCCCTCTGAATTGATGCTGAAAGCGTATAAATAAAGTGCTGTAGCGGGACGTTGAAAATAGTCTATGATTATTTGTTAGTGGCAAACGTTTAGTGAGACCTGAGTATGCCTCCACGACGGAAGAATAAGAAATTCAAGCAACTTACGGAGTTTGAACGAGGGAGGATAATCGGCCTTCGAGAAGGAGGATTTTCCTATCGCGCAATAGCAGCTCGTATGCAGCGGAACAGTTCCACAGTGATGCGAGTTTGGAAGCAGTGGACCGACGAGCACCGAACAACTCGAAAAACAGGCACTGGACGACAGAAGGTGACGTCAGAGCGCGATGATCGACACCTGCTCCGCATGGCGGTGAATGATCGCACAGCTTCCTCCAGGCAGCTGGCAGCACATTGGTCTACTGCTACAGGTGTACAATTGTCGGCTTCGTCAATTCGTCGTCGTCTGCTGCGCCGTGGATTGCGTGCAAGGGTGCCATTATACAGGATTCCCCTCACGGCGGATCATCGACGGCTGCGTCGGCAGTGGGCTCTTGAGCACAGAGACTGGCGAGCTGATTGGCACCAAGTTGTCTTTTCAGATGAATCACGCTTCAATTTGTGGACCCATGATGGCCGTGTTCGTGTTAGACGTTATGCCGGTCAACGCTGCCTTCCTGAGTGTATTATTGAACGACATAGTGGTCGAACACCCGGAGTTATGGTCTGGGGTGCGATTTCGTATCATGGACGATCCAATTTGATACGAATTGAGGGTAATCTCAATAGCAACAGATACGTCCGTGAAGTGCTACAGCCCGAAGTCGTTCCTTTCCTTCAAGGCATCCCTGGAGCTATCTTTCAGCAGGATAATGCACGCCCACATGTTGCGCGGACTGTTAGAGACTTCTGTTCAGCACAACGCATGCAACTTCTTCCTTGGCCTGCTTATTCGCCGGATATGTCGCCTATTGAGCACGTGTGGGATATGGTTGGTCGGCGTCTCACTCGTGATCCGCGTCCTGCAGTTTCCAAAGACGAACTTTGGTTGCGCATACAAGCGATATGGAATTCTCTTCCTCAAGCAGATATTCAACATCTGTTTGACTCCATGCCACGTCGTATAGCAGCACTTATTGCAGCGCGTGGTGGCTGCACCAAATACTGATTTCGGACGCTTAATTTGTTTCTTTTGTTTTGAAAATTTCATCATTTATTTGTATCAGTACAAGTCGTTTCTGCATTAAATTTCATTTGATTCTGATGATTCTTTCATGGTGTTGCATTTTCTACAAACAGCAGTTTATTTAATGAAAATATTTATATACCAATTATGTAGGATTTGTTTATCTCAGAAGAATGTTTATTCCATTGTATTTTTGCAAAATAACAGCTGCGACTAATCGTAAAACGATGCTTTTTTATTCAAAAAATACCGTTTGCGTTATTTAATCAACATAAATATGGTATTCAAAAAGATAAATTATATTTTTTAAATTGCAAGTCTACTTCGCAGTACTACTTTGTATACACAATGATAATACTGTAAAATGCAATTTGTAATCTCTAAAAATATTTATTTATGCACAATAATTTCGTATCTCAAAATGAAACAGACAGAACATTTATTACTTCACTGTTTATGGCAGAATTTTTTTTTCTCATACTTTAGAAAACCGTTTTGAAATGTTCATAACTAGAACAAATCTAAATTTAATTCAAACGAAGTTAGATAATATATATTTTCCACTTACAATACTGAAAATGGTAAATTAACATAGTTATATTGTGTGTACAAACGTACGTACATAGAATGCATAAATTATGGGTACATATATAATAAAATGTGTGTTTGTAGGTATTTAGATATGTAACCGTATGCATGCATGAACGGAAGTATATAAAATGTACATACAATGTAAATGTGTACATACGTTTGTTCATACGATGTACTCACGTATGTATGCACTAAGTAATAAAAATGTATGTACTTATGTATGTGCTTTTGTACATTAAATGCATTTGTGTGTGTACACATTTGTGTACAGCGTACTTATGTATGTGCATGGACACAAATACATACAACTTTTAGACATATATAATATTGTACATGCAATGAGAATTCATATAATGTACCTGCGTGTGTACGTATTTTCATACAATGTATTCATACAATGTATGTGCTTGTACATACATACTTATGCATGTACATACAATTTGGGCGTGTATTTATGTGCATACAATATATTTATGAACGTCGTATGTTGCATGTAATTTATTGTTTAAAAGTTTTAACTTCTAAACAATAAAATTCATTTTTACAAAGAGTTCATACATTGTGATGATAAAAAAAAATCAATCCTGAATACAATGCAATGGACCAAAATTAAGATTTCATTTATTTCTGCTGTAACCATAGACTATAATTACTTGTATTTAAGTTTGCTAATGATCGTTTTATTAAGATAACTTACTGAGAATTGGGATTTCTTGTATTCGTACATTATGATTAAAAAAAGTCACGACTATTCATTATTACTATTATTTGTAGTCATGGGTTATAATTTCTTATAATCTTGATTCACTCTTTGCTGTGATTAGAAGTAATCTAAACATATTGTAAGGTAAAATTAAGATTATTTGTTTCGTAATTGCTTGTAATCATGATTACAAATTTGATAAATAACTAATTTATAACTGCAATTAATTAATAACATCTGTAATCTATTACTGGAATCGGTGAAATGAAATGACGTTTAATAAAAATGATATAATATTTCCATTTTGCTCTCGTTAATTAAATTCATAAAAATATAGTCAAGACTAATAAATTTAGTCATCAATTATTATTCAAAAATTTATATAAATTCTCATAATGATTAATGAATGATGACTAAATTTGCATATGAATACTCATTCACAATAAAAATAATTTTGACTAAATTTAGTCTGGACTAAAATTTCCATGAATAAAGCTGTCGACTAGTAACAAATAAAAAGCTGAAAAAAACTGCTTTATTTTAAAAATGTGCTAATATTTGTCCAAATCTTATAAATTATGTCAATTAACTATTTCAACTGCTGCAGCTTTTTTCCTTTCTCTTCTGTTGGCCAGCTTAGGCAGCATTAAAACAATTAAGCTACATGCAAAGTTCATTGCAGCAAGTAAATAATAGAGTCCATCATATGATCCTAGGTGTCCTCTGAAATATCCTGTAAAGAAGTGAAGGTTACAAATTTTAATATGATTGACAAAAACAAATATCTTTTTAATGAGTACAGTAATTCTTCCGATGATCGGATTTCAACATACTACGTAAGGGCCAATTTTAATGATGTAAAATATTGATCTCAAATATGCCAATTAATTAGGGCTGCTTGTTAATTAAGTAATGAAATCAGACACAAAAAGTGATTAGTTCTGATAAACATGCTTCTTTTTCTTGTCATTTTAGGATTTCATTTTTCATGTATTTCATACAATTTCTGTAACTAATTAGGAAAATCAATTGCTTTCTTCACACAACTATAAACACTTTTTTTTTCAAAGATTTTATGTCATAAATAATGTTTATTTCTTATTAATTATTTATTAACTGGCTGAATTCCTGCTTTTCGTACGGTTCGGAAAAATAGCAAATAACACTGGGGGCCTTTTTTTTTGTTGTATTTTTACGAGTACTTGATCTTGCCTAATTCGAGTGTGGGGATTGCGAAACGAAACTGGTTTTGCTCATAAAGCCACAGATTTCTTTTTAATGACTATTTTAGTCTAATTTTTGTATCTTGTTACTAACACTAGTATATTTACTACATATTAAAAAACACCAATTGATGTAATAAAAGTAGCCAAAAGTAGTAAAACCAATTGATGTAATAAAATAATCAAGAATCATTGGCGTTAATAACAGTGATGCGATTTTTATACTACAGTTCTCATGTACGAATTAGTACCTCTTATCCATTAATTTCGCTTTTTTACGCAATTATTTATATTTCAATTTGTATCTAGTACCAAAATCAATTAACTGTAATTACCAAAAATTATTAGTAATGACGCAAATATTTTTGTAATAATTTTTTGCGAACTAATGTTACGTAATAAACATTTTGAAAGGCCGCAAAAATCACCTACTATTATTTGCTTCTTTACAGGTGTTGCGGTAATAAGAATCTATTATACTAAATTCGGTGTCTATTATGTACAAACTCTCCGAAACTTATAAGCACCCTAATATCAACATACTACTCGTTCACTGT